TGTATTATCTTTTTTCCAAGATTTAATATAGCTCGGGTGATCCGGTATACGCTGAGTATGGGTATCTGGAGTCTGTAGAAAAAGTTTGAAAATTTTTTTTTTTTTCTGATAATTAGCGATATCCTTTTCTCAGGTTCCTTAGATAGCGAGTAGTCAATTATACGGCAGTCGTGGACTCGTTAAGTTATCGAGCGAATGACTGGAGACGAGCGTTCTTCTTTATTTGATGCTTTGCGCGAAAAACTTCCCAATTATATTCGCTTTAATAGTAATGTTAATTAAATACCAATGCATAAAACCTTCCGGAACTCGAAAACACTTAACCCAGTTTCCTCTATAAATTCCAACGTTGTTCCCTTCCCTTGTCCTAGCCAGCCCCCCTTACACGTCCTAGCCGCAGTCTTCCGTACTACCGCACTTCGTCCGCTGCGATTCCCTCAATGCTCAGAGGCTCCATTCTCGCCGCGAATCAACATCGAAATTCGAACCATTATCCTTTCTCGACTGGTTAACAAAGTTCGTCAATACAAATCGAACTATTCACACGTTATTCGGTTATATCGACTTTTTCGACTCCATTGAATTTTTTTTTTGTTTTCATGATACATCGCACTATGCTGATTTTGCAAAAAAAGTTTGATATACTCGAAAAAATTTTTAATCACCCAGGTACCCGGGTTATCGCTATGCCTCCCGATATGTATATTCCATATTTGAAAGGAGATACTGTATTGTCTGAATATCTATAGGGGGATGAAATAATATTCATCGATAACAGCGATGTATGGGATATAGGATTAATTTAACCGTGGAAGAGGGAAATCATTTCACGGACCGATCGAGCAGCTACCCTTATCGAATTGGAGCGTGTACGCATATTATATATATAAATATATATCCATAAAATAAATATATATCGAATACAGAAATTCTATTAAGACTGTTATCACTATTTCAAATGGCATTTAGGTAAACTCGTTCTTATTAAACCGATTTCAGATATATATTTGCAATCAGAGTGAAATCCAGAGTTTAATTAATTTTCCCGAGGACCTCGGAGGCCACCGACCCTGGGTTCATCGTAAAACAACGAAAACTGCTGAACAATCGTGGATGATCTGGCTCTAGGTCCTCTTCACAACCCTCGATCCACCCCCGTCAGACCCACTTTACCTTCCTCAGGGTTCGCTCCTGTCGTTCCGTCAGCGCCGTTGGGTTCTCCACTACCCCAAACCCATCTACCCCTATTTCGGAAAACTTTTGCCGATTCCTCGTCGTCAGCGATTATAACGGCTGGTATAAAGTAGTTGTTTATTTTCAGCTGTTAAAGCAGACTCCATATTCCTTGAAATCTACCAAAGTTGCCTGTGCGAGTTTCAATTTTTTTTTTCAAATTCGTTCAACTCACGTGACTTTTGGTTGACGGGTCGGAGAGATATGATGGCAATAGTATACGAGAGGGGTTTGGCAAGGGGGAGATGAGATATCCTCCTGTATGTACGACACAGTCGCACGCAGGCGTCGCAGGGGGTAGCATGCTTTTATAACTGGGTTATGAACCTTTGCCCCAGTGACCCACGATCCTCCCTGACGTGTTCCTAGTCAGCTTGCTACATAGCGACTTGGTAAAAGCCATGCTGTGTCGCTGCATTTAGGTATATATACCATAAACGTATACGTATAGCTGAAATTATATATATACATGTACTAGCAGCGTCACAGGGGTGTACTACATATGTATATAGGTATACACGTCATCAACCAGAGTAATACACGTTACGTACGAATAAACTATGGGGTCCTTACGGCGTTAAGTGCTCAGACTTTGAAAAAGTTTTTCCATCGAGTCGCTCTTGTTTGGACGGCAAAGGAAAGGAAAAAAAAAAGAAAAAAAAAACGGCGAAACATTATGATAACCACCCTCCACTTTTACCAGCAATTTTCTCACTATGAAATCGCTTTGCATCTTAACGTAAAAAGGTAATAGCAATCTACCTTAGCTAATCCCTGATGCAGCTAATAGATTTTCGGATGACAAGCCTAGCTAGGAACAGAGTGAAATGGATGAGGCGCTAGATAAATAATTACCGAAAATATTGCTTGCCCAAAATTTTAATTGGCAATTTTGTTATTCTCCCGTTATTCCAGCCCATGCAATTTAGATAAGCTATCAGCGAGCTCAGAGCCTGTCTTTCGAGTGTATAGGACGTTGGCTGGTGTCTTTTTCTAGGATCGAAGGTCGTACCAGGTCAGTGTCCTCTGTTTAACCTGACCTAAAGCACCGAAGCCCCATCAAAGTGTCTAGATATGATTGAGGATTCTTAAGTGACTGAATGAGGATCAGTTCGGCCAATCAGATTCCATAACTAAGGGATCTTTTGTGGCTGCGATGAGATAGGAGGATGATGAGGATGACGCGGGAGCCAAGGGATTAGGATAGCCCTGGATCGGGTCACGAAGGGATGAAACTCCTAACTGTGTCTTGCTCGGCTATACTCGACTGGTACCAGCTGCCGTCGCCTTCATTTAACCTGTAATTGCAATTAGTCCACCGTCCAGAATTGACTAAAATGTTCGACGGCAACACCCAGTTGCATCCAATCGATCGGATGCAATTCGTCCTCGTGTCGATAAGGTTACCCGATCGTTTAAGATAATTAATCTAGTGATAATAACGTTCACTGACCTAGTTCAACGTCATCGAATATCCATTATGGGTTGATGAAATTCTCTTTTTTTTTTTTTTACGAAAAATACGTGATTTTTGGACGGACACGATTATTTAACTGCTATCTGTCATTACGTACATGACGCATACGACTCTGCGTCAACAAGGTCAAAAATAAATTAAACCTGATAAATATCATTGTCATATATTGTTATGCGTCTGTTACGTCATTCCGAGTATATTAATAACAGTTAACGGTGGATAGAACGATAAGTAAAATGCACCCCTTTTTGTCGGCTCGTAAAATTAACACCTTCGTCTGTCGTATAAATTAGCCTGGTCCATTAGATCGAATAATTTCGTCGTAATTACAGGTAAACACTAGAAATTAGTTTACCAGGAGAAAAGCCCAGTAATTTAAACAAAGGAATCGTCCAGACAGTCTCCCTCTGACGGTCCCCCCTCCGAGGGTTTTGTCTTTCTTCCATAAAGCAAAAGGTAGGAATGATCTAGCCGCGATAGGTGCAGCTCCATCTAGGTGGTACGACCAACTTGTTTTCACCTACTGTTACCATAGGTATACCTATACGTACCAAACTGTACCAATACCATAGTGAAGTAGTGTTGGGTATACCAGCCGGCGAACCACTCTAATTAGGAGATACAGCCCCGTACCCAACCAGCCAGATTCAATCGAACTCGTCGACTAGTTTCTACCGTCGAATTCTACCATCTGGTATAAAACTCTAATCCCACTATAGTCTCGCTACCGTAATGCAAGTCGGCCATGTTGGTTGTCACGACTTAGGAGACTCGCAGTTAATGCAAGAGTAATCACAGTAAAAGCACTTATGCCAGCCAACGAATTTTATAATTTTTTTGTTTTTCCTTTCTTTTCACAAAATTAACAACCTTGCACCGCGGTCTACCGTACAGGTTTTGAGTTTGGCCAGCGCAGTCGGAACGTTTCTTCGGTGACGAAATTAAAGGCGCTTTCGCGGATCGCTTAGCCTCCTTCGTGTACGTCATATTGACGAGAAAGGAAAGTTGAAAACTGACCTTAGCGAGGTTCACGATGTGCAGCAAGTGCAGCGAGTGTTGTCAAGGTTCAAGGCACAGCGTGGATGCTAGTCCTACACCGGGATCAGATTCCGAACCCTCAGGTAAACTACTTCATTAATATATGCATATATATTGTGTATATATATATATATATATATACAAAAATATAAAAAAGACATATTACGAGACTCGTTACGAATCGTTATTTTTTGTACGGCTGCATAAAACAACTTTGGACTCTGGGAAAGTGCAGGCTCGATGTTCTCTTGGATCTCGGGAAGCCCAGTGGATTTGTATACCTATGGAGTTCGCGCCCGGAAAAAAGGACTTTGAGTGGGAATGAAAGGAGCTTGTTTAACCCAGTGCCTCGAAGCAACTTCCTTTCCGACCAGGAAAAGTATTTCCAGTGATTTTTCTTCTCGGCTGCCGGGATACTCCGATGTAAATTAGGAACGTAAAGATTTGTATAAGAATCATCCACTGACTACGTAATAGGCGTATCCGTGCCTATTTCACCGTACGAAAGAGAAACGCGAGGATCGATTGATCGATAATAAATCTTAGATCGTACAAGATGACTGGACATGCCATGTTTACCTATACTGAAGTATATATTGGTTCGTCGTATGATCCTTACAAATTGTCATGCATCGTGCATACTGCATGATATGTGTATAGTACGTGCATTATGGGTATATGCATACGTCATGTAAATACGAGGGAGGCGATGACGTAGGCAAGACGACCCAAGACCCGGGGTCGTTGCACCAGGTCATACCGAGTGGGTTGAGGTTACGTATGTCGGGGATGGGAGATCCACGCAAGAGCGTGTAAAGGAATCCCTTGGTCGAAGGTGTAATCCTTGGAAATCCTTCAGGCGATTTCACGATTAGCTCTCTAATAGGAGATTATCCCAGGATCGGCGTTAGGTGCGCTACGGTTCGTCTCTGTGGTAAAAAGAGGATCGTGAAAAAGTTGAAATTGTTCGGTGGCGACACGACTAAAAAGGATCTTTCATTCGAAAGGGATTGTTTTTTGGTAACCAAATTTCTGGCAGCCTGTCTCGAAATTGTACAGTACGGGGGTTGGCTGTGAAATAACGGAGGAATAAAATAATATTTTCAGCTTCCACGTTCCTCGTTGGCAATATCCTTTACGTTTACTTCTTACGTCTCTTATATCTCGCAGCTCGTTACGTTCTGTGCTTCCGGCTAAAGAATCGGCATGATCGATCGTGTCTAATCGGTTATCCATTTTTTTTATGTTTCAGACGAAGAGTGGAATCCAGATGGCAAAGGACGCCAGTCCAACGACACGGGTGAGTTTTTTTTTCTCTCTCTTTTTTTTTCTTTTTTAACTTTTTTTTTTTTATGGGTTTCAAGAAGTAAAGTTTCTCGACGTAACTCTATGTATACGGGCAGGAAAGTAAAAGGGTTGAAAAGCTTGTAATTAATTCGCGGGAATCACTGCGCGGGTTCTGGGAACAAAGCTGCGTGTTAAATTAGAAACTGGAGAAGTTGGAAGTTCGCGCATGCGCGTTAAGGTTCTACATAACCTTAAAAGAGATTGTTACTACGTAAAGACGCTGCGTATAACTCGTGTACAGCGTAGCTCGTGACATCTGCAGATCTTTAGAAATGCTCGCTGTCCTTACTACTACCTGCCACGTATCCAAACGGTCCAAGAGCTCTTAATTATTCAGAAAGTTTTAATCACCAAACGTACTTGCCGCCAGACGCGTCCAAGTTCAAAACTGTCGAGCGCCGACGCGCGCACGATCGACGTCCGTTGAAATTTTAATGCTTCAAAATATCAGTCCTCGCTCTTAAAAGTGGATGGAGACGTCTAGTCGCCACCTACGTTCATCCCCTCCACGTAATTGTAACCCGACTCTTCTTCATCCTATATTTCGATTCGTCAACCTTTTTCCGGATTACCCGACTACGCTCGCTCTCTTTGTCTTACTCTCTGTCACCCTCGTATCCACCAGCTACCAGCTTCAGTCGTCTCGCTGCACCAGGTGAGGGTCGGACTCTTGGCTATTGTTAGGTACAGTTCTCAAGGACGTAACGATCCTCTAGCCGTTCTGTAGCGAACCTCATAGCTTCTGCTCGACGACACGTTTAATTGTGTCTCGACGGAGTGGGAATAAGATTAAAAAATATTATTGGAGTCTGTCGATTTTTCGACGGAGTGCGAATGCACTGTGGCTCGATTCCATTCGAGGAGTCGCTTTGACTCTTAAAGACTCTGTCCCGCTTCTATTAGAGGATGAACTTCGAATTTTTGTTTGGCTTTATCGAGACTTTCCATCGTCGTCCCGGTAATCTACGATAGACTCGTATCTAAATAAGGCAGCCTCCCGTGGAAATAGTCGACGGTAAATTTGACGGTGACGTGGAGGTCGGGTCGGGCCATCTTTAGAAGAAAAAAAAAAATATGACGGAAAACTAACTGGATCGACGGAACAGCTCGCGTTTCCTTCGGTACTGTAAACTGGCGTTCGGAAAACTGATGGATTTTATTGAATTCCTACCAACTACTACCCGCACTCTCCCTCTACGCCTCCTGGCGAAATTCAATTGAATCGCAATTTACACCGTTTTTTTCTCTTCCTCCACTTCCCGTGCTACACTCATACGCGTAGCTTTTGCTTCTGACGCTCGAAGCGTTCTTCTTGCTTGCCGCAAACAGTTTTCCCGGTAATACTTCGCTCCGTTGGAAGACTTCCGTTTTCATTCATTCCGCAGTCCTACGTTCGCTGTTATTTTCGTTTGGGAAAAACAAAATTTGTTCACTTCCATGAAAACTGAGGTCAATAGATATTTATTTTCTTTTACAGCAATAGTGCAATAGAGTTTTCCGGCTATCGGGAATTTATTCGGTAAACATTACTTGGTCGCGGTACTACAGTCCGGAAGGAGCTCACTCTTTTTTTTTTACCGGAAGAGTTACAAATCATATTTCTCTAATCCAGGATTCCATCAGACCACGTTTCCTACGTTTTTCCCATTTCCATGCCGGGATTACGCCACCCCTAATGTATCCTAGTAGTCTCATAATCCTGAATGCTTTTACGTGCACGGGGAAAAAGATAGAGGACAGTGAACAGACACGGAGAACGAGAGAGAGAGAGAGAGAGAGAGAGAGAGAGAGATAATGATAATAGTCTCACGAGTCTATAAGCAACCAAAGCATTGAAAAATTCTAATGACCCCCCCCCCTGCCCACTTCCCAATACTGAACCCCGACCGTTACATAACGCTCGCAATTATTGGGATACCTGTAACTTCACGTGACGATAGTGTCTTGTGCTCGTGTTGATTCACAGTCAAAACCTGACAGGCCATTACGACTTGACGTTTATACGAGTTTGCATTGAGTTAGGTTACCTTGGGTTTGGATAGGCTAGGATACGTTCTGGCGTCTCTCTCATTGAGCTTTATATGTGACCTGTCAAATATTTATCTAAATGTGGGTAAATTCATAGTAGCGTATAAACTTTCATGCGCAAAATCAGCGCACCGTTAAGTGATGCAGATAAGCACTGACCGAGATAATACGGCGGCCATCATTCTCACGCGGTTTTAAAATTGCCCATGATAACGGTACATGCTGTATACGTATGTGTGTATTATGGATTCCCTGGTGGTTAACTGTTTTCCATCTATCCCGTCTTCTTCTTTTTCACCTAACCTCTTTATTCCTTCTTAAAGCAGATATATTATAAGCTTAATTTAACCCCTGGAATCAGTTGAGTCTTTGCTAGGTTTCCAGGTTTAAGTTTCACCCCTACGCTTGTAACTGTCACCGTGGCAACTGCAGCTGTCAACCCCTTGGCTATTTTTTTTTTATTCTGACCTGCGGACATTAGTTGCGCTTGTACAGTAGGATAATGCAATACAAGGCTATGGAGGGTTGCGGTATGAACCCTTTGAGCTTTACTTTTGACCCCGTTAACGTTTTACGAACGAGAAACTTTAGGATGCGGATTCGTTTCGAGAGAAATGTCGAAATAGTTTCTGGAGGAAGGGTGGTAAAGGAGGTAAGGCTGGGTACCCCGAGCATCCCCTTGACGAGAGCAATGTACACAGTGGCGTATAAATTTTCGATAGTGCAGTTCTGTACGGGTGTTCCGGTGGGTGGGTGGCGGCTGGGGGGGGGCGGGGGG